GGGGCCTGGCAGGGGTCCCCCCCAGAGTCCCCTTCCCCCTCCTCAGCCTCCCCGCCCCCCAGCCACTACTTACCAACATGGAGTCCAGGTCCAGCTCCCTGTGGCAGGAAGTGGAAACTGCCCAAATCTCCGAAGCTCTCCAAATCTTTTCCAAATCAATTTGGAAAGCTTCAAATTGGTATCGACCTTTTTATTGGTCTCCTGATTCAATTCAGATTCAGAGATTCGGCCGCCGAATCCAAATTGAATCAGCACTCGAAGCTTCACACAGTCCTGTTGGCTATGTCTGTCTCATTTGAATAAAAGACATATCCTTCCTCCCAGTAGAGTTGGAGTATTGTTGTAGCCATGGTAGTCTGGGCAATATGCAAGGATCAAGGTGATTTTAAGGACCAACCATATAGGTAGGAAAGAATTCCCCGCTTGAATTTCTATTTTTTCTGTCACATTTTTTTCCCCAGACACAGTCTTTTTGCTTAGTTAGAGAAGTTTCTGGGCACCATGAGCCCTTCTTCTGTGCCCTTGTCTAACATCGCTCCCAAATTTTACACCTGGTCCAATAAAAGACACCACAAAAGGTCCTGTCCCCCTGCCCCTTGCTTCTGATTTGCACTGCCTTTGTCAGGCACAGAGACACCAAGTCCCTAGCCCCATGCTTGACTTCCTCAACCCCCTCCCTCCTCCTGCCACACCCTTTTCCTTCCTGACACTGAGTCTCTGCCACCCACTGAGCCCTCCCTGGAAGGAACCCAAGAAGAACCCCTGTCCTTTACTGCCTCCCCCCAGATCCCTTCAGGCACAGCTCAGCTGCTCTGCAGAAACAGGTGTAGGAATAGGGAAATGGCAGGCGAAGGGAAGGAGAACTAGAGCAGGGAGAAAAGGCCCCTGCGGAAATCAGGAGTGGTGGGGGGAGCGCTCATTGGGTCTGCAGCAGACTCTGCTTAATCCTCAGTGGCTGAGACTTAGAGCAGCCCTTTTGATTTCAGTGCAGCAGTACCCAAGTCAGAGTGACAGACAGCTGGAGAGACAGGCAGAGTTGCAGGGGAATATGGGGATCAAAACTCCCTGCCCATTGAAAGGGTACAAAACTGGGTATTTTGTCCCAAGCCCAAACATTCCTGGGGGCCAGAAATGGCTGAGATTTGGCAGAGCTCATAACTGGCTTTTTCACCAAAGTTACTACCATGTTGTTGCAGGCTAGGGCCCTGTGACCTGGGCCTAAATTACAGACTGTGACTGAGAAGGGCCATAACCCTGAACTCACTAACCATGAGGAAGGGTTGGGGACCAGGCAGAGAGGGGCCCAACTGCACCACATAGCCCAAACCTGAGTTGGCACCTGTGGAACAGAAGGGATGGACAGATCAGACAGGGGGCCCTGGGACCAGAAATAGGAATCAGATTATCCTTCACCTGTATGAGCTTCAGCCAGAGAGACCTGCCACCATGAAGGTCTGTTCAGGTCTGAGCCTTTGGCCTGGGGTTCTGGAAGTTGCCCTGCAGGCTGATGTCAGCCCTCTATGAGGTCACGGTCTCTGGCCCAATGCCTAATATCCTACCAATGCATCTCTATGAGGTCATGGTCTGCCCCACCCTCCCCACCCAGCCAGGGTCATCCCCTACCCATAGCAGCCCCTTCACCATATAGTCTAGCATATCCTGTATCCCATCCCTGACACTGACCAGCGCCCAGTGCCTGAGGCTGGAAAGAACAGGACAAGAGAACCCCATCCTGGACAATGGGGGTCTAGTCTGGCCAAAGAGGGGACAGTTCTGCCAAAGTCCATGCTGCCCAGCAGTACGAGTCACAAAACCAAGGGTGTTTATACACATGCTCCAGAAGTGTAGGGGGGTGGTGCTTCAGTTAGAGTGACTCCAAAAGCCCCTCTAATTAAAGCTCCCAGAGCATCACATGCATCAGTGTCTCCACACTAAGAAATGGCGGTGGGGGCACTTTAACTACAGTTCATTGAAAGACCTTTAGTTAAAGCAGCATGCCATTATTTTTCAGTGCAGGGACACTGATACACATGATGCTGGAGTCTGCTGGAGCAAGGTAATTGCCATGCTCCAGCAGACTCGAGTCTGCTCCCACACATTATAATTATAGTGTGTTGGAGCAGCCTTGCTGCATTTCTATAGGTACCCCAAGTGACCAAGTGACAAAATCAAATGGCTGACATGGGAGTTAGGGGTATAGCCTCTGAACTACAACTACTTAGACCTTAAATGCTAGAGGCTGTAAGTAAGAGAGAAACAGTAGAAAAACCCTAGCCATACCCTGTTCACTCTCCCTTTCAGCAGCCACTCCCTGGGCATGTCTACATGAGACACTATGTCGCTGTAGCAATGAGCTATGGCAACATAGCATGGGTGGGCACTAATCGTGACACTACTGTGTAGTAACTCATTGATGGGCCTTGGTGGCCCTGAGCTCCCAAGGGGGAGAAAGGCTCAGGGACACCAACGCTCCCTTCACCTCTCCCTGCTGCCAGGCCAAGATAGACTGGTCCTCAGTCCTGGGTGTTTGCTCCCCTCAGGCAGCTGTGCCATGCTGCTCTTCTGCTTAGAGAGCTTGGGTTAAACTCCAGTCGCTGTAGCTAAAGACTCAGAAAATTGTTCCCTTGACTGGCACTGAGAATGACATGTCGGCACGTGCGAGTCCAGGGGCTTTCTGATTACCCTGTGATTCTGCGTGGAGATTGCTGCCATCTCCAAATGGCATTATCTGCTGGCTTTAACTCCCCACCCTTGCTAGGTGGCACCTCCAAGTTATCTCAAAGACTTTGTGGCACTACCTGCTGGTTGGGCTGGCTCCTGAGCTCTCTCTCCAACACCCCTCCTGTGGCACAGCCAACTGCTTGGGAGTGCAGTTATAGGCATTTTCATGATTCCCTATTATAGCATATGGGCGAAACGTCAAAACCCATTGAAACAGTGAAACAGTTTCAACGAAACAGGACAGTGCTTCAAAACCAAACGAAACAATGAAATAAAACACTGTCCCTTCGAAACAGGGAAACGAAATGGTGCTGTTCTACACAGCCATTAGTAAAATAGAGCTGTTCGTCTTTCTGGGCTTGCACAGTTTCTGTAGCACAGTTTTTGGCATGCATCCCTAACCATGGAGAACCAGCTTTAAATCTATTGCTGCTTCCACTGATTTCAATGGGCCTAACATCAGGCTCTCAGTGTAAAACCAGCTCCCGTCTGGAGATCTTTGCATGCTGCATGTTTTGGTTTGTTAATAAATATTTCTGCTAATTAATAACTGATACTAAGATAAGCTTGTTCACTTGATAGAGCTCAAATGATTTAAACAAAAAGTTATATTTTAAGCCTGCCTCTTTCATTCATAAGTATAAGGTAAAAAAAAGGTATTTTGGCAAGTTTAATAAAATCTGTATTAACCTGCAGTTCTGGTTTGATTTATTAAGTTTCCACAAATATTCCTGTACATGTCATCAATGAAATGA